TTTTTTTTTTTGAAAGATTCGTCTGCCAAGCTTAGAGTCCTCTTTTAATATTTATTATTTTGTATCGAAAGCACACGGAAGTATTCCAAGCGATAGAATTTTGACAACAGCATCCAGCCTGATGGAAAAATTGTCAATCGGAGCCTCCCTTTGAGAATTGTTTGCGAAGCAAGCTGATGGCCGGTATTGGTACTTGGTATGTTGTAAAGTCAGAGTAACGTCAGCAGCAAGACGAGTTGGGTCTATTTTGATAAGATTTCTTTTCCCAAATGTTGGTACCTACCATTCCTCAGCCTAGTGCGGATAACAGTCACCATTTGAGTAACCGGCCAGATAACATCCGGTAAGATTCGCGCGCTTCCTAGGACCCCGATCCGCTGGTCCCTTGCGTCTCAGTAATTTCCCAGCAACGTTAATCCGTAGCACAAAAGTGCGTGGGTCTCGTCTTGTTCTCCCAGAAACTAGCACTTTTTTTAAAAAAATTTAAAGTGAAATGAAATGCGGAACGCTGTGGATTTTGTTATGATTTGAAGCGTGAAAATTATAATAACACTGAAACTGCAAGCATTTCAGTCTGTTTTTAAATCTTATGCATTTTTCAACAATACAATGGGGCAAGGTAACGCTTTCCTGGATTTCCGTTGTTGGCTATTTTTAGCAGTTGCTTGAGTTGCGGAGGGAGGAAGTATTTTGGAGGGCCAAAATCGAGGAACATGCTACAGCAGCAGCAGTATTCATATTACTGCTAATGCTGCTGCTGCTACAGCAAGGCAGTGTAATTTATCAGCTCCTGCAAATGTGCATGTGCTTCAGCCATTTTCATTTATCAGACCTTGCGTTTATGCCCTCTTTTCCTCTGGCTATTTATACCAGCGGTTCCTGGATCCTTCTGCTACATATGTACTACCTCTAGCATTGGTTTTGCCCAAAATATTGCTTGTATTTTTATTTTTACTGGTCAATAACTGTTTTGAGTTTTTTTTCCCTGCAGCTATGTCCGGTTTGGAAGATCATTTTGTTAAATTACGGATAAATCAAGTTCATGAAGTTGTTTTCTGCTGATGGCTATGATGAATTCGAGAAGCTACTGGTTGATGATTAGGTCGAATCGAAGAAGTTAATTTACTGACTGACCACAAAACTCGAGTAATATCGCAATAAAAAATATTATTTCTTCTTGAACTATATTCAACGATACCCTTCTTGCTCAGTGTTATCGTCATCGTCACTGCCATTATTACTGTTGTCGGCACTGTTGCTGTCATTGATCTGTTCTTATCATTAATATTGCTAGTATAGAGTTACTTTCAAGCTTTTTCAAGTTACCTTCAAGTTCTTATCATTAATATTGCTAGTATAGAGTTACCTTCAATCATTAAAGTTACCTTCAAGCTCGTTAATTTTCAGTACAAATCCGTTTTCTCGTAGTTACCAATTATTTATTACTGTTATTCTCATTATTGCTCTTACTGTTTCATCCGATAAAACCATATTAAAAAGTAATTCATGGAAATCATGAAATTACGAGAAATCATAGAAATGTGTGGAAAAGACTAATAAAATGACTGACCACATCAATACTAGCAAAATTTACCTCATTATTGTTGTCGGCAGTATTAGGCTTTATCAGTATTATTGCTGTTTCTGCTACCAGAGCAATTCAGTCCTGTTATAGATTTTTTGGCATTTAAAATATTATTAATTTTTGGATTCGTGATACATTGTAACAGAATCCTCACGCACTTCTGGAAATTTTATGGCTCTTAGAATCTGGATCTGGAAATTCTAGAACCTAGAAACTCTTAAAATCTGGATCGGGAAACTCTTAGAGTCTGAAAATTCTTAGAATCTTCATAACTACAATCAGAATTTTTATTATTGCTAACGTTCACTGTTGCTCATTCTGCTGCTATCACTATTACAACCAATAAAATTCGCATTATTCTGATAATCCCCTTCAAATTTGACGCTAATCCGTAAATCTGCCCTGATCCAACATTCCTTTCGTTATTCAAGATCAGCTTCCGTCCTGTTACATGCCCTTAGCATTAGATGTATTTCATTTTATTAGCATTGTTCAGTCTGTGCAGCTTGCTCTATTTTGATATTTCTGGATTTCTGCATTAGTCCTGAAAACTATCCCCACTGTCTGAGATTTTATTATTGTGATTCGAAGAGATTCACATTTTCTTTGTCTATTTTCTTGAAACAAAGAGAAAACTTTAATTTTATTCGGTTTTGCAACTTTTCGTTGCTGGTGATGTGAAGCTTTTTTAACAGCTTTCTTTCACATCCACTATCCTGAAATTGTTTCGACACACATTTCCCACTTCCATTAGTCTAATTGATTCTTATCAGATATTTCTTCCCTTTTTGTGGCACTGAAGAAAATTTGATTGTTTTAAAAAAATGGCTGGTTACTTGGCAACACGGGAATCAAGAACTATACACTTGCAACAAAATATTTTCTCAGCACTAATCCAGCAATTGATACGCGAACCAGGCCACAACATCGATGATCATGGTGACAATAATAATAACAGTAGTAATAATAATGCTAATAATGATAACACAGTATTATAATGATAATAATAAATAATACGATATTCGCAATAAAGATAACATTAATAGTAACAAAAACTGAATGGTCAAAGTATTTTTCCTCACACTTTGTGCATTTAGGAGAATTTTTATGGATGGTGAGCCTGAAGGGGTTTTTGCTTTCTGATTTAATTAATTAATTTTTATTCATGTTTTTGATCATTGGTGGATGGTTTTCCAGAATTTCATGTCGTTGTCAAAACTAACGTAATATCTAAAGGGTTTTTTTAGTAAACGACATTCAAAAAAAAAAAAACATTTAAACAAAAATTTGAAAAACTGGTTAAAATTCGCAAGGACTTTGATCTTTTATGTAACAGTTTGTCTCTTTATAACCTTTTTTACAATCAGTCTGAGTAAATAAAGAGTTAAAAAAGGATTGCCTTCAACGATTGTCTATCTTCTATCTTTTGATAGCTGAACAAGACTTGGATATAAAAAATAAGAAATTGAAAAATTGGATGGAATTTGAAAAATTTTATGTTTTCTACCTTCTTTTGTATCTTCAGTATTTTTGAGTATCTTTTCTTCAGCGCTTGTCTATCCACCATCTAATGTTCGTGTGCAAGCAACCTCAAATTCGTCAGCTGTGGTGCAATGGGATTTTGATGGCGATGCAGCGGTTGATGGATTTGTGGTACGATACATCCACGAACCGGCAGCAGCAGCAGCTGGACAACGTGATAATGGTGAACGTTGGAAAACGCTCACGGTGATGGATCCATCCGCGCGACATTTGCATATCACACAGCTTACCGCACATAAGCCATATGCTTTCTGTGTGCTCGCTATTCGACAAAACGTGAGCAGTTTCTTCCAAAATTTGTGATACATCCTTACTTTCGGGCCCTGGAGAGGAGGGGTGGAAGTGAGGAATGGTACTTAGAGACCTCCTTGTCTCGATGAAATGAACTTTCTTGATTTGTCGGAATTCTTGATTTGTCGGAATTTTTCGTCTGTTTTTCTTTGACAAGTACTTGCGTGGAATATTTGGAACATCTGTACTACCTAAAGTGGTCCTCCATCGATGTAGTTGAAGAGATTTCAACGTATTTTAACCGATGCTTTATTGCCCGTTGGTCAACTTGCTGACGAACTTGACGTTCGTTTTGTCTCTCAAGGGGTAAACAGCTTAACAGTACTCCCGACGGACAAGGCCTTAGTCGTTTCCAAAATGTCCTAAGATGAGCTGAGTGCTATAACTTGATCCTGTACATCGGCACTCCTGGATCACAGTAAAGTACTTTATTAACTAAGAGTTTCGACGCTGGATTTGTTACTCTTTGCTCTAAATGTTCTCTTTTTAGCACGGATTAGCATGACATTGCGCTATGTTTGACTGAAAGGCATAACAAGTCACAAATTTGAAGCGATCTGCAGAATTGACCAGTTAAAAACACTTTAAGTTCATTCAGCTCCTTTTGATCAAAATCGTGCAGTAAGAAGCAGCTCAATGAAGATTCGAAGAGTAGCGAAAATAGGCTAATCGAGAGGTAGAAATTTCCCTCAAAAAGAAAGCTGCAGCCTGGAATTCCTAGGACATTCGTTGTTCATGCAGCTGGCAACTTCTCCATCGACTACGATCTTTTGCTTTCCCCAACTACACCACTCCAGACGCTTAAGTTACTGGTTCAGCCAATGGCTTTTCTACCGGTCTTTTTTAACATTTGTTTATACAAGAATTTGCAGCGACAAGGAGCTTGCTCTGACCCACCAACAACCATCGATCGTCTACAACCGTCGCATATGGTAGCGAATTTAGTGGTTGCCTGGAAAACAAGTAATTCGGTGATGCTTCGCTGGGAATACAACGGTGCGCAACCGATCGGTTTCTACGTCAATCAGACTGGCCGCAAAGATTATCTGGATCAGCATTTACAACTCAAAGGAATGGTTTCGCCCGGGTTTCGACAGGATCTCGATGGACATCAGCGCGAGCATTTGTAGGGTTTTTTAGCTAATCAATTAAATTACGGGGACAAATAAATTGATACATTTAGAACCAAGAATGCCAAAATCATTCAGTCTTTCGGTCCAGGGCTGCATACCTCCAGTTTAATACTCACCATGTGTATACCTCCAGTTTAGTATGCAGCGCTTGTTCGATGTATGTGCCTCATTTCTTCGAGGGGAAATTCAGTTTCAATTTCGTATTTCAAATTTCAATTTCAAAAATTTCAATTTCGTAACTGTTATTTTTATCCATAATTTTGAAAAAATTTTTTGGTGGTAGATTTATTACCGTGCACAGAAAAGAGGAGGGACTAGAAATTGGAGGGCAGAGCGGTGAGGGAAGAAGAGTGGGGAGGAAAGAGGCAAAAGTTTGCTGACAGAGAAATAGGAAGATATGGGAAACTACGCAGAGTGTCTTTCTGTAGTTTAAATCAGATTATGTACGGTCATGTCCAGTTCGTCGAGCATTTCACTCGCCTTGCTTATAGTTGATGGACGTCAAGCATTCCCAAGCACTATAGATCATCAGCCGCGCCGAGTTTTTGTAGTTGCCGTAACTTTTAGGTAGTAGATTAGTGGTACCGCATCGTTAAGCGGCGATGATTGTTTTGGTGACATAATCTGTTATCAGAAAAAAAGCTTTTTAGATGGACGACGTTGCGTCCATACATGGAATATACATTTCACGTTGGTGTTCGTGAACTGCCACCCTCCGACAAAGAATACTGGCCCCGTGAAGTGATTGTACGTACTGATCCCACTGGGCCGCCGTTTGTTGATGTACCGGAATTCATTAGCTCCGAATCGGTCGGCACAGCACTTATCAGGCTGCGATGTGTCAGCGAGGAATACGGCCCGATCAGTCATTACTGGCTTATCGTTGTACCGGGAAATTTCACACAGGTTTCAATTTTTTTGTTATTTTTAAACGTTTTGTGCTTTTTGTCCACGTTTATGTATGTTCGTTCAGGGTGCATGTCCGAGAATTTTCAGCTCAGAAACCATAAAAACTAGGAAGATGAAATTTCAGGAAGTCGTTCCACTCTCATTGGGACGACCTCGCAAACTTAAATTCAGATTTCAAGTAAGCTCGGGCTTGAATTATGCGCACTTTAAAATTTGGCAGGGGAATCGTTAACTTGGGAACCGCAAAAGCTACGAAGTCCAAGTTTGCAGTGATATTCTCTGTCCATATGTGATCCAAAGATCTCGAAATTCACTATCAAAGTACGCTTAATTCTCACACGCATGTGAAATTTTTAGCGGGAAATTCTCTAACTCGGAAACAAGAAAACTATAATTATGACCATACAAATTCGTATTCTGCTTCCGAATACACCTAGGTCTGCCGGTCATTGGCATATGAATAGGGCAGATACATTTTGAAAGCTGAGATAGAAAAGCAATAGGAAATAGAAATCTTCGACATTAGTAATGAAACTGAAGTTGCCAGACAGATAATCTGTTTAATAATCATTATCGTCATATTATTTTTATTTTTCATATTCATTATTTTTCGTATTGTAATCGTATTATCGTTTTGTTGTGGTCATATCATAATCATATTGTAATTCATATTATAGTCACAATTATAATCATTTTAATAATAACCATGTTATAATATTTTACAGGATGATGTGCTTAATCTCGATTCAACGCTGCTCCAAAAAAGTACAGCAATGATGCGCCCCAGTCAAAACAAAAACACACGCGGGAAAGCAACTAAAAGAGCGCGCAAAGTGAATAAACAAGCGAAAAGGTTTGTGCGAACTGACTATCACTAAAAAAGTAGGCATGTACTTTAAATTTTGTTGTTTGTAGATGAATTGTTGCCTTTGAACTTTTTTTTTCTTATTATGGTTTTTGCATTTTGTTCAAATGTAAAAACGCATACTGTCGAGAGGTTGTTCGTGTTGTATGTGTGTGTATGTATGTATGAGCGAATGAATGTATGTATGAATGAATGAATGTTTCTGTGTGTTCGGAGGCGAGTGAACTATGTCACCTATTTGCAGTTCATTAATCAGGAAAGCTAGTAGGCTGGATTTTTAGCAGTATGTTCTCACTCCGTGCCTAGGACGGCTGAGTGGATCTCATTAAAGTCAATATGCCTAGGACGCTTGAGAAAAGCATAAATTTTTTGGTAGAGAACAATTTTGGTAACCGGTAAATGCAGGAGGCTGGAACTCTATCCACGTTTGAGCTGAAGATTTCAGATTCAGCTATCACACCCGTCTATTCATTGTCGAATATGCATTTTCCGGTGAAAAACCGGTTGTGGGGTAAATTTACGGCAGTTGTGCATGCTGGGGGTTAAGATTTCACGCGGCCTTATAATGCAGCAGTAGGGTCCCAGCCACCTCCCTTTTCCTCCTACATGCAAGAAAATGCGAAAACATAGTCAACATGAATTCTTATGTTAAATTGCTGCACGTGAGCCATTCGTGCTGTTATCGATTTCATTGATTCAAATTTAGCGTATAAATGCGTGATTGCACCGGCAAACTTTTTGCATCTTATAATTTCCAAAGTTTATCACACCTATTCTGTTTAGTATATTTGATTGCATTTGTAACATTATACCCAGAAATTCATTGTCGTCCGATTTCTTTTATTTTGTAGGCGTTATTTGCACGAACCTCACGAACTACACGGGGCTTATATAGCTGCTGGTATACCGGTACACGAAATGCAGCAGATGCAAAGGGACGATCGCTTGTTTTTGCTCGGTGACGGACGGGTAGATTCATTTCGTATTGTTATTTTTTTTTTTTTTTTGATTTTAGCATAAAAATGATATGAGGAAATATTAGTTGCAATAATAAAACATTTTTCATTTCATTCCTAACATTCAAATTTTTCCATTCCTGATATTCTGTTTTCATACTGTAACTTTATTATTATTTCTAAATCATTATTATTCCATCAGTATTTCTCTTATTAATTAAGCTTCAATTTAAATTTTTTTGTGGTTTTTTTTTCTTCATTTTTTAAATAACTTGTAAAATCGAAACTCCTGTGTTTCTTTACTACGAAAGACGAAAGCATTTAGAAGCAACCCGAGTAGTAATACATGAAAATGTTTGTTATCGGACGGGCTTCTCTTAATTTCGGAATTGAATTTAAAACTTGCCTGAAGAGTCAGGGCAGTTGTTGATTTTGGATCCGGGACAATCTGTATCTCCATCCTTGCATCCGCAGTTTTCTCCAGTCGTGACGATTTTGGCATCCCGTTTCACCTTACTAGTGCGTCTGAGTTGAAGTTTTACTAATAAGTTTCACTTTACTAGTACGTCTATTTCACCATACTATAACTTTTAAATTGGATAAAAATTTATGATGCAAATATAAATTTTTAAAAAAGCGTGCAATTCCATCCTGCAAGTTTCTTAAATTTTCTGTGCCCCAAAATACTATGTATGTGTTGAGGCACTAAAATCTGGTATTTGGGAATTAAATTCAAATTTTGAAACTATTTTCGTGCATTTCCAGAAGTGAAATTCGTACTTAGAGTCTAAATATTTCATTTCATTGCAGATGTATGATGGTTACGATAACTGGCCATTGGATAGCAACTCAAGGTATCGGTTGATGATGCGCGCATTTGCACGTGAGGATGCTTCCAGAAATGCGGTAAATATAATTCATGAAATCTTGTTTATATACTCATTTTCAGTGTTGCTATCTATTTCATCGAAATTTGTGAATAGAATCTTCATTTTTCTGGCAGTGGGACATTTTCAAATTTTGTTTCCATTCGTAAAGCTAACGACCTGCTTGCTTTAAGTTTAATGCAAGACGCATGATCGTGCCTGCAATCCTGGTGCGTTCCTGCCTGGATTATAAGTGCAGATCTCCGGCAGGTACTTTACCGGGCGAACACGGCACACTTATGCGCATAGCATAAAACACGATTGCAACGTATCATTAACATTGGATATTCACGTTGATTATTTAGGTGGTCTTTGTATTCTTGGACGACTTTATATCGGTCAAGAATTCTAACTCTGTTTGTATTTTGCTCGCAAATAATGTGATGGGGCACTCATGGGACTAGCTAGAATAACAGCTGCCATTTGCTAGCAACGCTGTCGATGATTTTTTTTCCCAAGTTTTGCTTATGAAGTGCATATAAGACAGTTGCCTCTCCTTGCATGATTTGGGTGCTAGCACCAAATTTACCGCCGAAATGAACCAATTACAAGCGGATTGGTTCCATCGCTAAAATCTACTTTTTTGGCGTTTTGAGCCTTTGAATAATAGGCCACTTGCCGCAGTCTCTGGTTTCGAAGCTTTTCGTTCATTGTCTGATTAAACGTTTCTTATTTCAAGTGCGGTAGATTTTAGTTCGAATTTCGTGCTCCGATGCAGGAACCGTTGGCAAAGCGTTACTCAGATTCGATGCTAAGTGAGCCATTTTCCACCAAAGCTGCCGCATATCTGCGTAATGCAAAAGCTTCCAATTTATGGTTGATTGCACCGTTGGTCGCTGTTCTTATCATTGCGCTCATCGTCGGGATGCTTGTAATATGGTAAGTTATCAAAATTGTGTTATTTAGCATGCAAAATTTCGTTGTGAGAAAGTAAAATTCGATAGGCAGTACATGGTACTCGTCTGGCAGTCGGCCAGGAACACCGCGTATTAGTGGAGGTACTTGCGAAGAAGTGACAGGTCATTCGGACTGCCTCGATAAGGTGGCGCGGATGTATGTACTGACTGCAGGTATGCAGCTTAGGACCCAAGTGGCCTGACGTGGCTACGCTTGGCATGTGGGATCATTCTAGTAACATCACTAACATATCCATACGGATTGTCGGGCGGCCTTGACATTTTGAAAGTCTATAATAATCCTAATACTGGAAACCAAAAATCACTCATGGGAATCGAGAATATGCAGCTACGAGCTAAGTAAAGCTATCTCAGGCGTTTACCCCTCCGGAGGCTCTGTTCTTTGAGTTCATTCATCAAACTCGCCGAACACATGAGCCTCCTTTTTTGGAATAATTTTCGATCATCTGCTTCACGATTAACACTTCACTAATACGTAGTGTCAGCGACTGCCATTAAAGCATGTAACTTACTCTGAATATCAGAAAAGTTGTTGACTCATAGTCTGATTTTCGAGCTGTGCAGCTCGTAATTTTGCAGTTACTTTGACGAATGGTGCTGGATGCCCGTCCGCTGGTGATCCTGAAATTCTTGCTATCTCCGGAAAAAATGGCCAATGCAGTAGATGCAGTTGCCAGGCACATTAAAACACATGCGGAAATCAAAAATATGTAAATTACCCCTGCCCCGTCTTTAAATATTGCTATGGTTAAATGATTTTTCAGGTGGTTCCGGTGTAATCGTCGTAGCAATCGTCACAAAACAGCCCGACATGCTTCGATCTCAAAAATAGCACTGGGCGCAAGCAGTACAAATCCCAGTGAAACATCGAAATTACTTGTATCCGGTGATGTGTATGGGCGTCAGATTGTTAGTCCTTATGATCAGGTGAGCGATAGAAATAAGTATATTGTGTACGCAACGATTTTGAATTTCATTCGAGCTAAAAGTTTTTCGTTTCAAAAATTCTTTTTTTTTTTAATTGAAAGAATAAATTCTACGGCTAAAGAAGTCGGAAAATGATTTTTTTGCATGGGTGCGGGGAAATCTTGCAGTTAGGATTTTTCTCTCGGTTTATTCTTTGAAAGACAGAAGCATTCAAAAGTTGCTCAAGTGGTAGCGCCTTCCAGCAGCAGTCAACCGCCAACCGTACTACTGGTGTCTTCGTTTTTGCGACTGCTGAATTTAACTTCCCGGCAAAATAGGCAGGCCTTCGAATTGTGACCAAGACCGGATCGTTGTGTCGTAAGGGGATCGTTTTCGCCTTGATGGATATGAAATGACGATTCGGCCATAGAACTGGCGTAAAAGATGCACAAATGCGTCCAGTGAATTGCGTCGATGACTTACGAAGAGATTAAAAAAAAAAAAGAAAATTTGAGAGAAAATGAAAGATGACGGATAACCAAGTAGTTTTGCAGCTGGTTGTTCAGACAGCTTAGCAGATGAAGTTAGGCGGCTGTCTTATTACAAGTACTGTTAGTTTTTTTCTTCATTTCTCTCCCCTTTCCCCCTTCCCCTCGCCATCCCCTCTTCCCATGGGAATTGTCGCCTACGATAAGGCGAAATTTACAAAAGTCATTAGTCCGAGAAAGTTTTCTTAGGGCTGTCGGCAGAGGCGAATCCTGTCGGCCTTACTTTTAGTCAGCAGTTTTGTTGTGATGCTAGTAGATTCTTTTGAGACTGATGAGTCAGATTTTTCTGTCGTTTTCCTGAAAAAAACTACTTTTTACAGATGAATGGAAATGGTGGTTGCGCAGCGATGCCGGTTGATTCCTCGGTCGATATGTATCCGTTGCATCAGAGTCATATGAGTACCACTTACAGTGCCTTACCGGTGCCCATGTCGATACTTCCTTCAAGCGGTGGTGCCATTGGTGGTCATACCCTGACGCATCCACCAATCCCAATCTCAGAACTTGCTGCACATATCGACAGATTAAAAATGAACAATAATGCCTTATTCACACAGGTAATCCCTCAACTTACATCATGCAGCACATGTCGTAGATACTCCCGAAAGGCTGAGCAGGATTAAAAAGTGTGCTAATGGCAGTGACTTCAGCATATATAAAGTGGTATACGTGCTCCTGCTGTTTTGAAGGACAGGAGGGCTGCTGGTGTAATGGACAACAAGTCACGATTCGAAGGATCTGAAAATAGTGAAAATGAGGGGTTCGATTTCATCACTGTCCGATCTCCCTTTGCAAAAGGGGACTCTGCTGACATCTGTCGCAGGAAAACCCGTGAGGAACTGGCTAGGAAGCCATCACAAAGAAAAAAGCGAAGAAAAAAAAGTGTATCTCTGCCTTGAAGGGCACATACATGTGTTGCCAGACTGAATCTGGAGCACAGGAGTCGGTGGTGTAGTAGTAACACATTATGCTCAGACGTGAAGAATAGTTCGATTCCCTCCCGGTACAGAACAGCTTTTGAGAAAGGGCTCCGTCTACGATAAAAGCAGATAGAATGCACTGAAATTTCCAGTTACTGATTTGTCTGTTTCAAAAATTATAAGATCTGACGAATACTAATTTTGTCTGCCTATGACCCTTACACGTTTGGATTGGTCTTTGCTGGCAACAGTCCGGGAAACATGTGTACTCGTAGTTAGGATTTTTTCGTAACTAGGATTTTACAATAGCGAAATCGCGAACTGGATTGGCATTCCTGGATCATGTTTGGAGAAGTCTAAAATGTTTCCAGATAGTATTTCTTAAATAGTCAACATTTGTAAATTTATTACTTACAGGAATACGAGAGCATTGAAACGGGTCAGCATTTTACATGGGAAAATTCAAATCGTGAAGTAAATAAGCCAAAGAATCGTTATGCAAATGTGGTTGCGTATGATCATTCACGTGTAATTCTCAATTCCATTGACGGTATCGATGGCAGTGATTATATTAACGCAAATTATGTTGATGGCTACGAAAAGGTTGCTTCTTTGTTCCTGGATGTAAAACAGTAGAACAGAAAATAAGGAATTGGACGAAGTTTCATGTGCAAGAAGATATGCTTGGATGCAGTCTGTATTTCATCCCTCAGCTGTAAAACGCAGACCGAGCTTTGCATGCGAGTAGGAGCGGGAAACATCAGTACAGCTTTCTACCCAGAGGAAGGCAAGAAGCAAGAGAATTTTGTAGCTTTTCTTTATTGAGTATGACTGACCCACTTGAGGAACAGAAGTCTTTTTTCAGTGTCACTTGTTGCCCTTGTTGCCCTCACTTGTTGTTGCCCTCAGTGCTTTTGAATCGGTGCTATAATGATCGATATTTTTGGATCATCGTCAAATAACAACTGAAACAAAACGATAAACCGGCGAAATATACATAAAATACAGAAAAATAGAATATCTGCGCAAGAATATTTTAGTCCATTAAGTCTCATACATTCCTTTTCAGCACTATAGTTGGTCCTTATCCAGTGTGACGGTTTTGGTGTTTTAAATAGAAAGGAAAGAGGAGGAGAAAAAAGTACGAAAAATAAAAAATGAAAAAGGGAGAGTGATCTTGTTAATTTTTACAAGTAAAATTGCGACAACGATAACAATAATAATGTTAACAACGCTTGTGACACTGATGATAATGATTATCATTATTGGAAGTACAAACTACGAATACCAAGATCGCTTAGAAAATCGCTATGAATTGCCATTCCAATGATGTTACTGATCGGCTCCCATAGCTGCACCACACTTTCCATCCTCGCATGGAGGAAATTTAGATCTTATAAGTATACAAGCAGAAAGCATGGATTTTTTATAATTTTGTAATTGTAATTGAGTTCAGACATTTTCAGCCAAAAGCCTATATTGCTACACAAGGGCCGTTACCTGAAACATTTGCCGACTTTTGGCGAATGGTTTGGGAAGAGAGTACGGCAACGATCGTGATGCTAACGAAACTGGAGGAGCGATCACGCATCAAATGCGACCAATATTGGCCAGCACGGGGATCTTCGGTGTACGGGCATATACAGGTGAATTTTTGTCCACTTCTGCTCCTCACCGTTGCAGTTATTTGAACGGTAAACACATTATAAATCATGGGAAATATGGTGTTTGAAATGAGACAATAGTATTTTTTGCAGGTAACACTGCTTGATACTCTCGAACTGGCACATTACACGATTCGAACATTCCGGTTACAGCATCGTGGTGCTTCTGATGTGCGAGAAGTGAGGCATCTGCAGTACACTGCATGGCCGGATCATGGTGTTCCGGATCATCCCACTCCATTTTTAATGTTCCTGAAAAGGGTTAAAACATTGAACCCACCAGCTGTTGGACCAATCATATCACACTGCAGGTTCGTAGAAGCATTAAGAATACTTCCAGTAATTATAAGAGTACAATGATTATAATGCCTTTCAGTACTCTGTCAGGTTTTTCAAGGAGAAATTTACGGGTGAGTTTTGAATTTGCCCTTGAGCAGGCCTCCCCTCTTTTTTATCGACTCGACTGAAGACCATAAGATCTATATGGAGTACGTACTACTTTTGAGATAATAAGC